GGAATTGGAAATAATTTATGGGCAAAAGCGACATAAAAACTCCAGAATCATGTAGAGTGGGTTAATACAAAGATTTTAAGACCAAAATGGCGAGGCTCACTGCAGCAGTTACAGAAAGGGGTGACAATTTTTCAATGTAAATTCAATCGAAGCCAGAGTTGATGGAGCTGGAAGCGTGCCCATGCTCACTTCCTGTTTAGATTTGGCAGCTAGCAGGCTATATTATGTCCATTTATACGGTATATACAGCCTATGGCATCATTATAATTCAGATACTCTGGAACATTCTTGGCAGGCATCAACATATTCATGGAAATTGTCAAATAGGTGTAAAACTCAAGTGCAAAAGTGGGCACTTTTTTTCTTTTTTCTTTTTTTTTTTATCATACTTCTGCAGCGTTATCGTGAGTTTTTCAGCTCTGACCAGTTCCAGCTCCTGCCTGCCTGTGCTTGGGTCATCCAGAGGGCCTTGTCTTGATGCCAGAAACCTGGACATTACTTATAGCCACAGTCTCCACTCTGAAGAAACATCTGGTGTGGTATTACAGAGTTTAAAGCAAGAGGATAATAAAAAGAATAGAGTGTCAAGGTAGTCGGCAGTTCCATACCCAAGGGACTAACTAAAGCAGGAGAAAGTATACAGTTATAATGAGGAGACAGATGTGAATGGTGTAAATTGAGCTTATCTAGAGAGAGTTCCTAGGTCCTTTTCATTGCCATTCCTTAAAGAAGACATATTATGAGATGGTTATTACAGAAGAGTCACAAAGGTCTAATGGACTAATCGATATAACAGTTCCCATCTCTGTTTTCTATCACTGGGTAACCTATTAAAAAGTCAATTTCATTTCAAGGCTTCCCTGGCTGATTACTATTGTTACTTATAACTTACTAAAACTGTCACAGCTTAAATTGAAAGAGATCTGTGGGGAAAAGATTTCAAAATTCTGTGACTTTTAAAGGGCCCATACTACGGTATTTTCTGCTCTGTTATAATCTTGTTTCCTCATCACAAACAGACCTGGAGTTGTGTTTTGTTTCATTCACACATGTTTAAAACACAACATCTGAATATTAATGCTGAAAAAGTGCTCCACTGTGTTCTTAAAGTTCACAACTACAGAGGATTTTCAGACAACATGAGATCCCAGTATAGTTCAAACCTGCAAACACTTCAAGACAGAAACTGGTTCACCCAAAGGACAAAACACAGAGCAACTAATAAAACAATGTGGTCTACTCCATTCAGTGTAATGAAGACTGCAGTGAACGCTATACTGGAGGGTAAAAAAAACAAAAACAGCCACTCCGCAAGAGGATGTACCAACACAGACGAGGGAGCAACACAGGACCTCAGTCGGCTGTTCATCTCCACCTAAAAGGCACAGGCCACTCCTTTGAGAACAGTGAGGTACAGATCTTAGCCAGAGAAAAGAACGTGTTTTAAAGAAGCTATTTTTGTTAAGAAATAGAATCCTTCCTTAAACAGAAATTGAGGACTCTATCAAATATTTACAACTCCATCCTCAAACCTAAATCAAAACAAACAAGAGAACAATAGCTGTAGCCAGGTCAGGTCCAGCGGTGTGAAAGCTCCATTATGTCCCTGAATGGTTATACTAATATGACCCCACACTCAGTTCAAGTTCCATAGGCTTGGCTAACAACAGAAACTGTAAACAAGTAGGTGTGTTAGTTTCAGAGAAGTTTCACTATAGTTAGCTCCTCCCTGCAGACAGATATAAGGTGGTCCTCCAGTGTCTGACCAGAATGAAGAAGCAACTTGGATGAGCTTTGCAAAACTTTTTCAACCAAATAAACTTTGTTGATAAAGTTGATAAACATAAATTCTCCTTTGCCTTTAAACTTCACTGTAATTATTTAGATGATTTCAGCCCTGGAATTACCAATCTCTACTGAACTTAAGATAAAAGCTTTTATTTTTTAGAACATAGCCTTCTGAGCTTTGGAGATGTAGACAAACTAATAATAAAGAGTTACTCACTGAATGAATGAAACAAAACAACTCCAGGTATGTTTTTGATCTCACAGCATTCTACCATGGCTTAAAACTCACTAGGGGTGTGCAAAAATATTTAAATTAATGTGATGATACAGTACTGATATTGTGAGCTGCTGTATCGATATATCACCAAGAGTATTTTTTGGTATATTTTTACGAAATTATTTGCTTACAGAGTTACAATTTTGTGTGAAGGAAACTTATTTATGGAACACAGTTGACATATTCACTGTTTGATGATTAAAATGTTTGTGTTTCATATCAACTTTGCACAAGAAATTGTTTAACAAAGATTTTAGTATCACAGTCATAATTTTGCCATTATTTTGTATTGAACCATATCGAATCAATTTGAAATATATCGTATTGAAATGAAAGCTCACTGTATCAAGCTATGTATCGTATCGGCAACTTCTTAATGATATCCAGCCCTAAAGCTCACTGGAGTAAATTTTCCGTAATATAAGACCTTTAACAAATGTGCATAATAAATGAGACAAAATTTAAATTACATAAGGAAAACAGCAAACTTAAGCTGCTATTAGACGAGATTAGAAGCAACAAAAGCAGCAGCTGGAGAGGAGGTGGGTGAGGAAAACCTGTGCCCGTGAGCCCTGCACATGTGTGACTGCATGATAGCACAGAACGAAAAAAGAACACAATGTTATTTTAACTCACTCATACTGTAAACCAAACAATATTATAGGAAAAAGCAAAATGCATTATTGTAAGAAATCGTCTGAAATGGATTCTATTTATCTACACGGGTGTAACAAAATCTATATATATATATATATATATATCTACTATGACATAATTTTTTTCACATTTAAAGGTGCAACCTGTAACTTTTTGGTCGGTGGTCCGTCACATGCTTGTTTCTATGGGTCAATACTCTGCCTGGAATATTCCACAGTATGACATTAAACAGCTCTACCTTACATTTATTCAATTACAGGTGGGTTTATAGCTCAAAAATAACAAGAAAAACTGACATTCTGACTGTGAGCAGGGTCGCCTCTCCACAGATCTGACCTGTAACTTGGTCTGGTTTGGTCTCCATGAAGATAGAAAGGTTTAATACCATATTGTGGAACATTCCAGAGAAAGTAATAACATCTCCATGGAGAAAAGGATCTGACAGACCCTCCACCAGAAAAGTTGCACAATGCACCTTTAATATACATTATGTAATAAGTACTGTTTACTTATTTATCCAAAAAAATTACACAGTTTTTTGTTGTATTCTAAATATATATCAGTGGTTATTGCCTGCAGAATAATCATTTAATAATTTAATACAGTATTGTTATATCATTAGTAGCGCTAACCATGTATTACTAATTAATTTGTGAGTTCTCCTGTCAGAATTATCTGTTAGATATGATGCACTTTTACTATTTAAAAGGGCCCATATTACACTATTTTCAGATCTAAGTTATAATGTTTCTTCATCACAAACATACCCAGAGTTGTGTTTTGTTTCATTCACACATTCAACATTTAACATACAAATCCTGCAGACAAACAAACAGACAAAGATGACTTAAGCATGTGTAAAACAAAACACAAGTTGAGGTATTTTTAGAGGGTTTAGAGAGTTTTTAGAGGAGGTAACAACGTTCTGACACGGCTTAAAGCTCACAAGCGTCAGTTTTGTGTAATATAGGAACTTAAAACCAGTTTTGAAAGTAGCTCACAGTACAACTAAAATATAAAGTTTAGGTTCACAGCAATATTAGTTACTGTACTGTGACTTTAATGTCTTTCTGATTCTGTAATTACTTTGTTTACAAATTGTGCTATAGAAATAAACTTGCCTTGCCTGCTGTATGAAACAAATTATTATTACCGTATTTTTCGGACTATAAGGCACACTGGATTATAAGGTGCATTAAGCGAAACAAATGGACGACACTTGAGACTGATCCCTTAGCCCAGACGTCCACGACCCATTGGCAGATCGTGGCATTACAGGCGTTATATTAGTTTTTTTATTTGCTACGAGGAGGACTCAAATATACCTTGAGTAATAATGTGTTTAATGCAGCTTTGCGCACATTTATTTACATTTTACACAAAGAAAACTTAAAACCACATGACTAATTTGCATAAACTATAAGTACTGAAAAACAGCTCACTCCGTCTGTCAGCCTAAAGAACACGACTTACTCCGCGAGGCTCCTGAATATGGTAGCCGTAATGTTTCGACAATCCATCAAGTGGTGCAGCTTTGTATCTTACCAAAGTCGTACTAAAACATTTTGACAGATTTTTGAGTGTCGTGTACCACATAAAATCAGTTATCCTTCACAGTAGAATTCCCTCATAGTAAGTGTCTATACTAAACTTTAAACTACAGATCTATTTAGTCTTGAGTGAAAACAAACTCTCCCCCTTCATTGACTTCTGTTCCTTATGTGCACCATAAACAGGATGATCGGAAGCTCCTGAACTCTGTCACCACTGTCCACCAGCATAAAAATATACATGCAAACATGGTCTGTACAATTTCAGTTTCAGGATTCCCTAAAACTTCAATTTTGCCTCATTTGACCCGCACTGATAGAGTTAAATCCAAGTCAAAATTGACCTGAACCAGCTTCAGTGTCCAAAATTTTTAAGCACTTGTACAAAAGTATAAAATTTTTTAAATTTTGTTTATTTTGGCAAAGGAAAAGTCATCAAATTTCAGGATCAAAGAATGATGATGAGTGTATTTTTACTACTGCTGAATGTCAAAACCGGTCAGATTTGATACAACTACTATGTAAGGGACACAGCACAACCAGAATTATTACACAATTCGCACTGGATTATAAGGCGTGCTGTCGATTGTTGAGAAAATTAAAGGATTTTAAGTGTGCCTTATAGTTCGATAAATACGCTAATCACTTTGGACATCTTACACAGACTGGCTGCATGACTTATTCCCTGCTGTATTTGAACACATCGCCCCTGTGGTCATGTGTCTCACCGTTCTGTCTGGAGCGTGACCTTGGAGGGCTCCACGTTGGGGTTCTCCCACTCCATCTCGGGGCAGTGCATGAAGTAACAGAGTGTGTAGATGGCCTCGGGAGCCCAGTGCAGCAGGCCGCTCTTCTGGTGGATGGGGGTTCCGTTGTTTTGGTTTTTGGTGTACAGAGGCTGGAGGTAGAGCATGGCCCGAGACACCAGGTCACCTACGGCAACAATGGAAAACACAAAAATATTTACTAGACACGGTAGAAGAAGAAAGACTCACACGTGGGGTGAGATAAAGCAAAAACACAAAGGAGGATCATCCGCCCTGGCAGAGCACGGTTACAGGAGAGAAGGGAGGAAATAGAAAGCGTTATCTACAGCTCATTTTGTTTAGCACACGCAGGGAGAGGGGGAGTCATGCTGTGGAGGACTGCTTTGTAAAGAATCTATGTATATTTATGCAACAGCAATTTCACCTTAAATATTCGTACTGCACATTAGAATCTGAAAAGTCAAACCTTACACGTCTGTTTGGCTTGACGCACAGTTACAGATAAGCAGTGAAAGGTGAATAATGTATGATTCTTATATGTTTTTGTATACGGAAAAAATCGCTCCACAGAAATGTACTCTCTGCTCGGTGAAGCATGAGGCCCGTTCTGCAAACATCATCCATCGCCAAACATGAAGTCAAATAACTTTTTATGTATCGGAGAAAAGCACTGCAGATGTTAAGGCAATAAATAAGGGATGTTGGAGAGAGGAAAGGAGGGGGCTCTTTTTAAAGCGACATTATTACGCTATTTTCAGATCTAAGTTATAATGTTGTTTCCCCATCACAAACATACTGTACCTGGAGTTGTGTTTTGTTTCATTCACATGTTTAACACACAAATCCTGCATATTTAGGCTGAGTTCTTCTCTCAAACAATCTTACTGGTAATACTGGTAGTGCTTCACTGTGTTTTTAAACTCCATACGCCTTCACTAGAATCATTTGGATAGTTTCAGCCCAGGAATTACCGATCTCTACTGAACTAAAGGTAAAATGGAGTTGTTAACTTGAAAAATACATCTACATGAAATCACAAGAGCAGTTTGAGCTTTGGATTTGTATACAGACTAATAAACCAAGATTACTCAAACATCTGTGAATGAAACAAAACACAAATCCAGGTCAGAGTCCTGCAGATCGTCGCTGAAACGGGCGGGTTTTAACATTCTGGAATTTTATGGGCGGGTAGTGATTACACACGGGCGGTTCAGGTGAATAAAATGAACGACGAACGGGAGAAAAATACTTGATGTGCGTCCACTTGTTTCTGTTGCCCTGGAAACAAGTGCCATTTCTCGGTCTTTTCCCGAAACGACAGTAGACCAGGCTGAGAGTGACTTAAGTGTTTTTATTACATAAAACCATCAGCGGAGGTTATTGGCTCAGTGGCTGTGCACCTGGTTTAGTCCTGAGTTAGACCTGGTTAAGTCCTGGTTTAGACCTAATTTAGTCCTGGTTCAGTCCTGATCCAGTCCTGGTGTAGTCTTGGTGAGCGGCTCTGCAGTTGTGGTGTGTATATATTTATAATCCGCTAATGACAGCATAGGTTCAATCCTGGTTTAGACCTGATTTAGTCCTGGTTCAGTTCTGGGCTAGTCTTGGTGTAGTCCTGGCGATCAGCTCTGCAAATGTGGTGTGTATATATTTATATTCAGCTAATGACACAGCGTAGGTTCAGTCCTGTTGTAGTCCTGGTCCAGTCCTGGTGTAGTCCTGGTTCAGTCCTGGTTCAGTCCTGGTCCAGTCCTGGTGTAGTCCTAGTTCAGTCCTGGTTCAGTCTTGGTGTAGTCCTGGTGTAGTCCTGGTTCAATCCTGGTGTAGTCCTGGTCCAGTCCTGGTGTAGTCTTGGTATAGTCTTGGTGTAGTCCTGGTGTAGTCCTGGTTTAGTCCTGGTTTAGTCCTGGTGTAGTCCTGGTGTAGTCCTGGTGTAGTCCTGGTGTAGTCCTGGTGTAGTCCAAGTCCAGTCCTGGTGTAGTCCTGGTGTAGTCTTGGTGTAGTCCTGGTGTAGTCCTGGTGTAGTCCTGGTGTGTAGTCCTGGTGTAGTCCTGGGTGTCCTGGTGTAGTCTTGGTGTAGTCCTGGTGTAGTCCTGGTGTAGTCCTGGTCAGTCTGCAGTTGTGGTGTATATATTTATATTCCTAATGGTGGTTCAGTCCTGTTGTAGTCCTGGTCCAGTCCTGGTGTAGTCCTGGTTCAGTCCTGTTCAGTCCTGGTAGTCCTGGTGTAGTCCTGTTCAGTCCTGGTTCAGTCTTGGTGTAGTCCTGGTGTAGTCCTGGTTCAATCCTGATGTAGTCCTGGTCCAGTCCTGGTGTAGTCTTGGTATAGTCTTGGTGTAGTCCTGGTGTAGTCCTGGTTTAGTCCTGGTTTAGTCCTGGTGTAGTCCTGGTGTAGTCTAGGTCCAGTCCTGGTGTAGTCCTGGTGTAGTCCTGGTGTAGTCCTGGTGTAGTCCTGGTGTAGTCTTGGTGTAGTCCTGTGTAGTCCTGTGTAGTCCTGGTGTAGTCTTGGTGTAGTCCTGGTGTAGTCCTGGTGTAGTCCTGGTGTAGTCCTGGTGTAGTCCTGGCAATCAGCTCTGTGGTTGTGGTGTGTATATATTTATAATCCGCTAATGACACGGCGTAGGTTCAGTCCTGGTTTAGTCTTGGTTTAGTCCTGGACTTTTGGGCTGTCGGACTTTTGGGCTGACCCCGATTTATCACGGGCAAGGGTGGGTAACGGGTGGAATGTTAACAGGCCCGGTGCAGATTTAACTTTGATATAATCACGGATTAACGGGCGGGTACTCTGCAGGTGCGGGCAGGTGTTGGCAGGTGTGGATCTCCAAAAATGGACCAGTGCAGGACTCTGCTCCAGGTCTGTTTTTGAGCAGGTAACAACATTATCACATGGTATAAAGCTGGCAAGAGTAAATTTTGCATAATATTGGACCTTTAAGTCTTTGGTTTGGAACATTATTTGAGTTCCTGTTATGCATTTTTGTTTTGCCAATTTATAAAAAAAATAAAACATTGAAACAACCAAAACTGAATTGCTCTTTGTAATAAGTGTTATGAGTGTTGTTTATGCTTGTTTGTGTCTGAGAATACCAAGGCCATTTGCCAGATCTCCAAAAAGTCGAGTGAGAATACTTTGTTGTTTCTTGTCCAGAAGAAGACAGAATGCCTCTTAAGAGCGCCGTAATCGCTTCTTTTAAGGATGGATGGTGCAGCAGTTGTTACCGGGGCATCTTTCTGCAGTTACTGAGTGGCTCTGGCTCCTTACTTGAAAAACAACCTTACTTTATTACAGCACAGGGCCTGAAATCCCATTTGGCTGAGTGCTGTCAGCTCCAGCTTCTCCTTCCTATTCCGGATGCCACCACCACCTCTGCTGCTCTTGGAAAATGTAATGAAATTCTCAACCAGGGTTTATTGATGAAAACAGTGTGCCGTGGTGTTTTTTCCATTGCAGCTGATTCAAGAGGAACAAAGAGATAGTCATGACTGGGAAATCTAATTGAACTACAGTAAGGCCTGTCACAATAACACATTTTGAAGCACGATATGTATAGAAAAATAGAAATGATAAACGATAATACTGAAAGTAATGACACAAGAACCCAAGAGCAGATTTAAAGCTGCACTGCTGCTTAGAATGTTCCACAATATGTTATTAAACAGCTCTACCTTACATTTATTCAGTTACAGGTGGTTTTATTTCTCAAAAATACCTTGAAAAACAGGCATTCTGACTGTGAGCGGGGTCACCTCTCCACAGATCTGACTTGTAACTTGGTTTGGTTTGGTCTCAGTGAAGATGAAAAGGTTTAATAGTGTACTGTGGAACATTCCAGACAAAGCAATAACATCTCCATGGAGAAATTTTCAAAATTTTTGACCGATCCTCCACCAGAATAGTTACATAATGCACTTTTAAAAGTACATTGTGTAACTTTCCGAGTAGAGGTTCTGCCATCTGCTTGTCTCCATTACTGAGATATTACTGTTTTGTATAGAAATAAACTGGTAATCACAGTGGAGACAGCTTAATTGTCAGATCTGCACATGGTAAGAATACAAGTTTTTCAAGGTGTTTTTGAGCTATAAAACACCTGAAATTGGATAAAACATTAAGAAGTTGTACCTTTAAACCACACAAACTATTCAAAATCTAAAAAAAGAAAAAACACACACCTCAGAATGAAACATTTTCATACTTCGTTTGCATCTGTAATGAGTCATAGATGTTATTCATTCAACTCTCTATGCAGGCCCGTCGATAAAAATTCAGGGGCCTGGGGCAAAATGCCTGACATGGCCCCCCTCTAAAACGTTCGATTTTAACATTTTAATTCCAAAAGGCTATAACTTAAAAGTGATAAGAGATAGAGACTTTCTGTAAATTAGAGAAATGTTTAGGATGACCCAAAGTTTATGTACGGATTAAATTTATCCATCTAATTTGCATATTAGGATGTCATTAGGACGTTAGGATAGTATAGTACAGTATTTTCATGAAATGTCACATGTTTGATGATAAAATGCAGAACTTCTTTCTCCCCAAAATGCCCCTCACCTTGTGTAGGTGACAGTGCACAGCAGTATTTACCTAATGCTCAGGTAAATAATAAATAGTAAACAAACTGTGTAAATCTGTAGTACTAATAATAACTAATAATAATAACTGTTACAGTTATAATTGTTTAGACCTGGTTCAGTTCTGGTTTAATCCTGGTTTAGAACTGGTTTAGACCTAGTTTAGACTTGGTTTAGACCTTGATCAGTTCTGGTTTAATCCTGGTTCAATCCTGGTTTAGACCTTGTTTAGACCTGGTTCAGTCTTGGTTTAGACCTGGTTTAATCCTGGTTCAGACCTGGTTTAGTTCTGGTTTAATTCTGGTTCAGAACTGGTTCAGACCTGGTTCAGTTATGGTTCAGATTTGGTTTAGACCTGGTTCAGTCCTGGTTTAGTCCTGGTTCAGTCCTGTTTTAGACCTGTTTTAGACCTGGATCAGTCCTGGTTTAGACCTAGTTTAGACCTGGTTCAGACTTGGTTTAGACCTGGTTTAATCCTGGTTCAGACCTGGTTAGTTCTGGTTTAATTCTGGTTCAGAACTGGTTCAGACCTGGTTCAGTTAGGGTTCAGATTTGGTTTAGACCTGGTTCAGTCCTGGTTTAGTCCTGGTTCAG